GCAGGTACGTGTAACCCAATCTTGTATCTCTCTCTCTCTCTCTCTCTCTCTCTCTCTCTCTCTCTCTCTCTCTCTCTCTCTCTCTCTCCGTCTTGTTCTTCGTCGTGTCTTTCTTGCAGGTGCGCGGCGGCTTCTTCAACCTCAGGTCCGCTATGGCGGACTATCTCCCTCGGCTGCCACCTCGGCTATGGCGCATCAGGCCCTGCATACGACGGCGCGCATGGAATAGCGGGTACCAGCTCCGATACCAATGCAATCAGACTCGTTCTCCAACACACTTTTCATGCAYGTAAACAGCAACGCAGCATACTGGCAACATGCGCCCACTCAAAACTCAGAGAAATGGCTTTCAGGCACGAGTTCACTCTTAATTGATTATGGCGACTTCAGCGCCCAAACATCTCACTGTTCACATACACTGGATCACCCTGGATATCCCACACACATCACTCTAACACTCGAACACACACACACACACACACACTCACTACTGACTACAGCTCTGGCAACTATCGCTGCATCTAACCTATCGCTAGACTAATTCCCTCTCTCTTGCCCCACTGCGTCCTCCGGGCTCATCTGCAGACCTCCTTGCACAAGTCGCTGTGGCAGCGCTTCCGCATGGCTCACGCAGGGATGAATGAATGGCTGGGCGCTGCCTCTTGATTTATACTTCAGAAACTCGTTGGTCTGCCCTTTGCCATCGGCCCTTGGTGATCACAGTCCCCCTATGGTACTTGCTGGATCGGACTGGGACTGACTGGACCTTCCGCTGACTGACTGTGGACTCACCGCTATCCTACCGACGTTGTACTGAGGTTGCACTGCGGTTTAGTCCACCACTTGCCTCACCACTTGACCACTTGCCCACTGGCCTACCTTCTAGAAGGTCTACAGCTAAGCTTCCGGAACTCACTAAGACTCCTACGCTATAGACCTACAGATCGAACCCCTGCTGCCTATGGACCTACGACAGGCCTMCCAACTGCCTACGAATACACAGGTCACAGGTTCAATTCCCGGGGCCTACACAGATACTCTACATGGGTAAGGTGAGGGCTAGGGATCGAACCCCGGGTAATGCATCCGCTACTGCTAAACGTGAAAACCGTTTCATAGCATGCAGTGATGCTGTTGTCAGACCGCTCCTGCACGATCCCAAAATTTTTCAAATTCAGTCGGACATGCGGTAATATCAATACTCGCAATCTTTCTCTATTGATACAACTAAGAAAAAAAAAAAAAAAGGTAATCTCTTTCTCAAATTAATACAACTATCAAAACAAAAAAAAAAGGTGACCCGGGCAGCCCGGCTGGTAAGCCTAGAAAAATACCGTTTTTTCTATGTTACCAGTTGTCCGATGGCAGGACGTCCTGGCCGGACAGTCAGGGGGGGGTCCCGGACGTCCGGGCCCGGACAACTCCATTTTTAGCAATTAAATGCACGAAAAAAAATATAAAAAAATTGGGGGTGCCTTTAATTTTATTTTTTATTTTAAAATTGACAACGAAATTCGATATGATCCCAAGGCAAAAGTTGTTCAGTTTATGTTTCTGCATAACATAGTTTTGTTTCAGATTTTTTTGAGGACTTGTTCTTTTTTTTTTTCTTTTTTTTTTTTGCCGTTCGGGCTCCGACAGTCTACTAAGGGAGGGTGTCAGACCGGTTGTCCGAGCAGACAACCCCGGACGGTCAGGGGGGTCCCGGACGTCCGATCAGGTAACCTAGCTTTTT